TCTTCCTCTCTCCTCCTCTCTCTTCCTCTCTCTTCCTCTCTCTTCCTCTCTCTTCCTCTCTCTTCCTCTCTCTTCCTCTCTCTTCCTCTCTCTTCCTCTCTCTTCCTCTCTCTTCCTCTCTCTTCCTCTCTCTTCCTCTCTCTCTTCCTCTCTCTTCCTCTCTCTTCCTCTCTCTTCCTCTCTCTTCCTCTCTCTTCCTCTCTCTTCCTCTCTCTTCCTCTCTCTTCCTCTCTCTTCCTCTCTCTTCCTCTCTCTTCCTCTCTCTTCCTCTCTCTTCCTCTCTCTTCCTCTCTTCCTCTCTTCCTCTCTTTCTCTCTTTCTCTCTTTCTGTATCTCTCTTTCTCAGCCCCACATCCCTCACAAATAGTGGTGTTTCTAAAAAACTCGGAATTCTTGCCACCAAAATTGGGAAACCGAAAAACCCCGAAGTCCCAGAAACTACGACCAAGCCCTGTCTGCTTCGTTTTTTGGGGATTCTTAGGCCAGCTTCGAGAAGAAAATCGAATTCGTAACCCGCCACGGTACTTAGATCCTTGAGTTCGGAAAAGCTAGCAGCCCAGAACCCTTGAAAACACGCCATAGCAGACCCTCCTTGACAACAGACCCTCCCCCATCCGCTGACCCCCAGCCCCCAGAACACTTCGTCGCCATGCGGAACCAAAAAAAATAGATTCTGGGGGTTGTTAAATTAAAGCCACCCCGGCATCGGACAAGCGTGGTTTGCTTGGGTGCCTTGCGCCATGAGCACCACGATTCAGGAGATCATCCAGCACACGGCTAAACCAACACCGACCGCAACTGGACTACCAACAACTTAAGCTGGGTTCTCTTCCAGATCGCACTGCTCACACTGCAATTTCAGCACCCAAGCCGCCTTGCGCAATCCGAAGTCTGGGTTTTCCTTAGTCTTACACTTCAGGAGCATTCCTGCCCACTACCTACTTAGCGCATCCAGAATTGCGCACACCGTTGCTCGGCCACACGCAGCGCTTTCCCCTCCCAACAACAATATAGGTCAACACGAGTACGGCGTGGGGCGTTTCGCGTGGGGGTGTCAACATACAGGGGATGCTGGAAGCCCCAACCTCGCAAGTGTACTACAAACCTGACAAAGGCCCGGACCATGGAGGTTCTTGCAGATATGCTGAGTGGATGGTTGTCCAATGTCACTGGCCCAACAGCACGAGGTCCTACCGGCCCTACTGGGCCAGGGTCCTGCAGGCTTCACGTGTGAGGCTCACAGTGCTACTGCTTGCTGTCACCCGCTTCCCCTTGTATGTTCTCATTTCAGCCGACTCCGAAAACTCGACTGCTTAACCCGCCATGGCCAGGCGCGAAAACAACCAAGCAAAGGCACGAAAAAAGAAATCCCAGAAACTATGGCCCGGCCTTGTCTGCTTCATACATACAGGGCACCCCTTGCAAGCCCGTGAGATGGGAATAGTAAAACGGGGCCTGGGAGGCCAGGAAGCCTCAAGTTTAAAAGGCCAGCCTTCAGGTCCTGCATTCCTAGAAACGTATATCCTTAAATTCGGAAAGGCCACCGCTGACGAGCCCCTGCTGTGACAAGCGAGGGTCGCGGTCGCAGAGCCGGCAAAAGAGCCCCCCCCCAGGTCCATGTGTGTGTGTGTGTACCTTTATTTGTTCATTATTTATTTGTTGATTTACTTAATTATTCTAAATATGTGTATATTTATATTTGTTAACATCTATTTGTTTCTCTTTACTTGTGTTAACTAAAACCTTGAACACAAGGTTCGACACCGGCACTAGCAACACAAAACACAAAACTTTTTCAGAGCAGAGGGAGATCCAAAAAAGTTGGGTAGCTTTGCCTAGCAAATAGGTGGCTTTCTGACCAAAACCAGCCTGTGTGTATAGGGATAAGTTGGTATTTCTCACCAAAACCATCTTTTGCTAGGGGAAAGTGTTTCGTACTTAAGCCAATTGTTGTTTGGGGGAAAAGTTTGTGTTTTTGCCAAAATAATTCTCTAGGGAGAACCAAAAAACCCAAAAGGCCACCCTTTTTCAGAGCAGGTGGATCTAGACAAAACTGGTTTTGCTGAGACATAGCAAGGAAAGAGGGAAAGAGGGGGAATCGGCGCATCGGCCAAGGGTTAAACCCGGAAGCAGGCCCAGACAAAGATAGGCCTCTTTTGCTGTCGGCACATGTGCATTTTCTTTTGGTCGGAGACCATGAGTAAGGGAGGTGTGGGGGGGGGGGGGGGGCGGGGGGTGGGGACATCGGCGCATCGGTGCAGATCGCATGCACGCTGATGTCAGTGTCAGCCCTGCTGGGGCAAGGCTCACAATGCTACTGCTTTCTGTCCCGTTCCCTTTGAACCTGCATCTAGGGGGCTTGGGGTTGAACACGGGCTCAGAAACGCGTGAGGGGGGGGAGGGCAAGGGTCAAGTATCTCGTATGTCGGATAGTTTTGCTTGGATGCTTGCTCCATGAGCACCACGATTCAGGAGATCATCCAGCACACGGCTAAACCAACATCGACCGCAACTGGCAAGGCCTACGCCCTACCTACAACTTAAGCTGGGTTCTCTTCCAAATCGCACTGATCACACTGCAATTTCAGCACCCAAGCCGCCTTGAGAAATCCGACGTCTGTGTCTTCCTTAGTCTCAATATAAGTCAATACGAGTACGGCGTGGGGCAGGGTCTGTTTCACGTGAGGGTGTCAACACACAGGGGATGCTAAGGGTACTACAATCTCCCCATCTGGCAAAGGCCCGGACCATGGAGGTTCTTGCAGATATGCTGAGTGGATGGTTGTCCAACGCCACTGGCCCAACAGCACGAGGTCCTAGCGGACCTACTTGGCCAGGGTCCTGCAGGCTTCACGTGTGAGGCTCACAGTGCTACTGCTTGCTGTCACCCGCTTCCCCTTGAATGTTCTTATTTCAGCCGACTCCGAAAACTCGACTGCTTAACCCGCCATGGCCAGGCGCGAAAACAACCAAGCAAAGGCACGAAAAAAGAAATCCCAGAAACTATGGCCCGGCCTTGTCTGCTTCATACATACAGGGCACCCCTTGCAAGCCCGTGAGATGGGAATAGTAAAACGGGGCCTGGGAGGCCAGGAAGCCTCAAGTTTAAAAGGCCAGCCTTCAGGTCCTGCATTCCTAGAAACTTATATCCTTAAATTCGGAAAGGCCACCGCTGACGAGCCCCTGCTGTGACAAGCGAGGGTCGCGGTCGCAGAGCCGGCAAAAGAGCCCCCCCCCAGGTGCATGTGTGTGTGTACCTTTATTTGTTCATTATTTATTTGTTGATTTACTTAATTATTCTAAATATGTGTATATTTATATTTGTTAACATCTATTTGTTTCTCTTTACTTGTGTTAACTACAACCTTGAACACAAGGTTCGACACCGGCACTAGCAACACAAAACACAAAACTTTTTCAGAGCAGAAGGAGATCCAAAAATGTTGGGTAGCTTTGCCTAGCAAATAGGTGGCTTTCTGACCAAAACCAGCCTTTGTGTATAGGGATAAGTTGGTATTTCTCACCAAAACCATCTTTTGCTAGGGGAAAGTGTTTCGTACTTAAGCCAATTGTTGTTTGGGGGAAAAGTTTGTGTTTTTGCCAAAATAATTCTCTGGGGAGAACCAAAAAACCCAAAAGGCCACCCTTTTTCAGAGCAGGTGGATCTAGACAAAACTGGTTTTGCTGAGACATAGCAAGGAAAGAGGGAAAGAGGGGGAATCGGCGCATCGGCCAAGGGTTAAACCCGGAAGCAGGCCCAGACAAAGATAGGCCTCTTTTGCTGTCGGCACATGTGCATTTTCTTTTGGTCGGAGACCATGAGTAAGGGAGGTGTGGGGGGGGGGGGGGGGGGGGGGGGGGGACATCGGCGCATCGGTGCAGATCGCATGCACGCTGATGTCAGTGTCAGCCCTGCTGGGGCAAGGCTCACAATGCTACTGCTTTCTGTCCCGTTCCCTTTGAACCTGCATCTAGGGGGCTTGGGGTTGAACACGGGCTCAGAAACGCGTGAGGGGGGGGAGGGCAAGGGTCAAGTATCTCGTATGTCGGATAGTTTTGCTTGGATGCTTGCTCCATGAGCACCACGATTCAGGAGATCATCCAGCACACGGCTAAACCAACATCGACCGCAACTGGCAAGGCCTACGCCCTACCTACAACTTAAGCTGGCTTCTCTTCCAAATCGCACTGATCACACTGCAATTTCAGCACCCAAGCCGCCTTGAGAAATCCGAAGTCTGTGTCTTCCTTAGTCTCAATATAAGTCAACACGAATACGGCGTGGGGCAGGGTCTGTTTCACGTGAGGGTGTCAACACACAGGGGATGCTGGAAGCACCAACCACACAAGGGTACTACAATCTCCCCATCTGGCAAAGGCCCGGACAATGGAGGTTCTTGCAGATATGCTGAGTGGATCCAACGTCACTGGCCCAACAGCACGAGGTCCTAGCGGACCTACTTGGCCAGGGTCCTGCAGGCTTCACGTGTGAGCTTGGTCAGCCGCTTACCCTGCCATTCCAGTTTCTCTTACTTGTATCGTGTGGGCATCAACGATATCGAAGATGGGCATGCGCGAATGTGAGGGCATTCGGGCTCCGCATGTATCGACATTCCCTGCTGTATCCTCTCAACAGTGGACACCTCACAACCTGGAGCTCAGGTAGAACAGCATGAACAAATATTCGAGTCGAATACCGTCGCTGGCATCCTCACTCATGTTCAGCCTTCTTATGCGCATCTTTTTCATGCCTTATCATGCCCATTATCGCCACGCCTGCGCAACAACCACTTCCACCTGCCATATCTCTGGTTTCCCTCTGGCGCGTCCCACGAGGCCTGGGCAAAGAGGTCCACCGCCGACACGCCCGGGCTGTACACGTTGAGCATCTGCATCCTTGGACTGCCCTTGGGCACTCGACGCGGCTAAAAAAAAACTCCCTCCGGGCGCCCAGGCCAGCCCTGCCTTCTTCTAGGATGGCCCGTAGAACCCTCTGAAACATCTTCCTGCATATGATCCTCTTAAACCCAATAAGGGAAGATATACAATATCCCAAGCCTACCGAGTCTTCTTTCAGAATGTCAACTTCATGAATGCCCAGTGTCAAATGCATGCTCACTACGGCATTGGGAAATCGCAGGCAAAAAACATGCTGAGCAATGTCCATTGCAGATATATCAGGGTTCGGGGTCTTGGGGCCAGGAACGCACGCGAAACTGTTCGCGTCACCGGAAGGCAGCATGTTCTAGTGAGAGATTCTGTTGGAGAAGTGCCGCACGTCACCCTGGCGGCTCCGGCCCCCCTAAACCCTAAACCCTAAACCCTAAACCCTAAACCCTAAACCCTAAACCCTAAACCCTAAACCCTAAACCCTAAACCCCTGCAGCCCAAGTCACGGCTGTGCTTGCTGTGCTTGCTGGAATGCCTGGGCCAAAGTGGAGTGAATCCCCAACATGCACTGACATGCTGAAGAACACTCCAGAAGAGGAAGAAGCAAAGCTGGGGTAGTTCTACGTTTGCCAGTTCAGCCTCAAGTTGGGGAGTTGAGTAGAGATTGGGGCCCTAAGTGGGGCTTAAGGCTCTTCAGCCACGCATTTTCAGCTGTTCGGATCAACCACAGAAGTGCAGGAGGCATTGGAGAGAATAGTGCTCATAGCTCTGCAGACTTCGAGAGCTGCGACGCCCATCCCTTAGCTCCTGGCTGTCATTGGCAGGCACGAAGGAGGTAGGTGCTGAACAAAGTTCTGAGGAATGCTCTGAGGTAGACTCTGAGGCAAGACCTGGCCATTTGGAACTCGAAGTGCAATAGAAGCAAACTCCTTGAGCTCTCCCGGATCTGAACACTTAACACAAACAGGCGCAGAACTGGTTCACTCTGAGACAATGTGAAGGGAATGGTCTGTCATCACCATAATACCGTAAAACCGGCCTGGGGTTGCGCCAAAGCGTGCGTGGGGTTCACGCCAGCTGCCTGTGCCTGGCACAGGGAAACTATGTTGTCTCTTTGACTTGCGCACTGCGGCTGCCCGTGGCAGGAAGTGCGCCGTGTATCAAGTTTACGAGTGGGTGTCGCAGTCGTGAAGCCGTGAAGCCGTGAAGTCGTGAAGTCGTGAAGTTGTGAAGTCGTGAAGTCGTGAACCTCATCTGGCCGCTGACTCTGATGTGACCGGCATGAACCAAACCATCATTGCTAAGAACCTAATTCCATTGCGTCGAAGGTGCCTGGGGCATGGCCGCCAAGCCAACTAACCTCTGCAACTCTGTCACGGTCACGGTCACTTGTAACGCGGAACTGCTTTGCACCGGCTTTGCCGCAACCGACACTGCAAGTCCACCACCCTCGGCGCCGCCTGGTTCGTATCTCGTCACGGTCCAGCTCACGCTGCTGGGCCGCTCCTGCGTGGCGAAATGAATACAGTTCACAACGACACATGTGGCTGAACTGTCTCTACTTTCACCTTGGCGAGAGTTCAACCAGGCGCCTCTGTTCAAAAGGCGGCCCAAGCTCTGCATTTCCTTCCAAGGCTGGCAGGGAGTCTCTCTCTCTCTCTCTCTCTCTCGCAATGTGAACTGTTTTGATCTCATTTTTATTTGTTGAACTTGAACTCTGCGTGAGTGCGAAGTTGTGTTCATCAACCTTAGGGGAGCGGTCCCACCTAAAGCCTTCTCTTTGGGAACCCCGGGGCAATCCCCCGGCAACAACCACACCCCTTCCCTCCACGAAAGGCCTGCGCTCGGACCCGATCGAGCTGGGCGGAGATGTCTTCCGCAAGCGCCTGCACGGAAACGCATTCAACCCGGGCATCCCTGATACTTCCCATAGATGCTGAGCATCGCGAAGGGCTTCAGAAGCTGTTAGCGAGCTAGGACCGAACCCTCGGATCGCCTTGATGACCTGCATGGTGTTGTTGCTCGACGGCACGAGCATGAACCCCTGCAACCGGCTCGCAATGAGATGGCAAGGCGGGATTCCTAACTATTCTTCGATGCGTGGCAAGCCCCTGCCAGTCGGAGCATGCACAACTGCCGCAAGAATGCTGCTTGGATCAAGTTGGAGAGCCGCTGCAAGCCCAAATCCCCGAACAGCAGGTCCCATCGAGGCTGTACCAGACCTTCAGCAGGTGCACAAGCGCGTTCACATCCAGTTCCTGCTGGCTTAGGACCAGACACAGGTTGGCCCTTGAAATCTTCCGACAAGCAATCCTGAATATGCTCCTCCTGAACCCAACAAGGCAACCTATCAAATCTAACATATGCCGAGGGCCTACCCAAGAGTTTCTCCAAGAAACCCTAAGCCCTAAACCCGAAGCCCTAAACCCTGATGATACCTTTTCCTGGAGGCGCTTGAGGACTTCTTTGCCAGCGCAGTCGACCAGCGTCTCTGATCCCCGCACTGGAACCTCAGAAGACAGGATGACACAAACATGTCGGTTTGGGGTTTAGGGTTTAGGTTTTAGGGTTTAGGATTTAGGGTTTAGGGGGTTAGGGCAGCTTCTTGCGCACACGCAGCCCAACTCAACTCTCAAGGGGAGCAGTATGCTTCAACCCTAAACCCTAAACCCTAAACCCCAAACCTCAAACCCTAAACCCTAAACCCTAAATTCAGTAGGCAGCTGGGACTGTGCTTGGCAAAACCTCCCATGCAGCGAGCCTGAACGGCTCAGCAACCAACAGCCTTTCTAGAGCCTTCACGACCTTGAAGTACGAGGTCAAGAACATTAATAGAATTGATGGTACGTCTGGTACAGGTCGTATGAACAGTATGAACCGTATTCGAAGTACAAATAGTCCGAATGGAATGAGTAGTATTCATAATGCTATGAATACGATTAATACAATTCATACTATTCATACGATTAATAGTATTTAGATGGACGGGTGCCCGGCCGCAGATGGAGTTGAGAATCTAAGGTCGCGGCCATTGCATATGCGCTGACCTGGGGCGTCTGCCATCAATTCCCAAAACCCGAACACCCAAGAACCCAAAAACTTGCCAAGAACCCAAATGCCACAGCTAAACACGTCTAATGTCCCTAAACCCTAAACCCTAAACCCTAAACCCTAAACCCTAAACCCTAAACCCTAAACCCTAAACCCTAAACCCTAAACCCTAAACCCTAAACCCTAAACCCGTGTTTTTTTGCCAGGCTCCTCGACGCATGCTCTTATAGCCAAGTCCGGGGCCGAGTTGGCCAAAGACTGCTCGGAGAATTCCCGCATGCGTGCAACCACCCATGGCCTCATGTGAGCTGGAAAAGGGTTTAGGGTTTAAATTTAGGGTTTAGGGTCAAAGGGTACCTTAAAGACAGCAACAAAGAGACCCTTTCATGCAAACATGGACATGTAGCGGTGCTCTGGACAAGGGACGGCCTGAGACCTGGTTCCTGCTTACGAACACTTGCGACTGTTTCGCGATTCGCCTACAGGGTGCGTCATAACAAGCAACAGCCGTCGGTTGTCATTCCAAGCAACAGCCGTCGGTTTGTCATTCCTTAATGTGTGTTTTCTGATGGTATTGCGCAGCATCCATGCACGCGAATCCAAGTCAGAATCCAGGCACTCTTGCAAGGGAAGCACTTCCCTTCATCGAGCATACGGTCGAGAAAAGACCCATTCATCAGCTTTAATGAACTCATCGCAGGCGCGTGCTTGGTGACGTGCAGGTTCTGAAGTCGGGGCAGGCTTGCTGGTGCTGTTGTTGGATCTCTTCGGACTCAGGACAGATCAGGGTCCGTGTGTACGAATGCTCCCGCTCAACTTCTTCAGCGTGTCGAGCTACTTCTCCCTGTGCCACGGCGTTCTCCGATGACCACAAACACGGGCCAAAGAATTCTGGCATGATAAAGAGAACAACGACGTGCTGATTGATTCACCTGATTGGTTGCCACGCTACTTCTGTCTGGTTCTGCAGAGATGAGCACTGAATCGAGATGATAATGAGAAGAATGATAATGAGAAGGAGGATGATGATGATGACGACGACGACGATGACGCTGACGATGATGACGATGATGACGATGATGACGATGATGACGATGATGACGATGATGACGATGATGACGAGCGCCTTGATGAGAACTTCGCTTGATTGTCCTCACCAACTACTTTTTCTACGGGCAGTCACTAGCATGAGCGACTCACTTCATCATCATCCAGATGCCTGGTGTCACACTCTAATTTAACCGAGGCCGATGGCTTCTTGCACCGTTGAGACGCATGGCTGACAAACATGTTTGTCGCAAATGCGGAAGCTGCAGCACTCACAGCACTACTATTATATCGCAATTGTGCATATATTTGTCGAGTCATGTATCGATGTATCTTTTTGTTCATGCTTGAACTTGTATGTATGTATATATATATATATAGATAGATAGATAGATATAGACACACATATAATGTGGTATCACAACATTTCCTGTCATATTACATTATATTATATTATATTATATTATAGTATATTACATTATATTACATTATATTATAATATAATATAAAAAAAATATATTATATTATATATTTTTTTATATTATATTATATTATATTATATTATATTATATTATATTATATTATATTATATTATATTATATTATATTATATTATATTATATTATATTATATTATTACAGGATATCATGTTGTATTCTGTTGTGCTATACTATATTCTATTTTACTTTGTTTTACTTTGCGTATTGTATTGCATCGTATGTATTTACATTTGTTCTTAAAAATATAATATCCGCCGACCCCAGCCGGGGGCGGCGTCAGTGAAGACCCACTGCTTTTTAGACCTTCCACCTCATCCATGACAGTCCGCCAAGCGCTACTACCCGACTCCCCCAGCTTCCAACACACATCCCGACGACACGGCCCTGGCCTTATGGCTTCAGGGCCCCAGCGCCCCAGGGCCCACCCCCATGGCCTCATGGCCCAGCCTTCTTTCAAGGACTCCAATGCATGCCCGTTTGCTCGCCCCCCGCCCTCTCCCGCCCACACCCCACACCCCCCCTCCCCCCACCTCCTCCACCCCCCCCCCCCCACCCCCCCCCACCCCCCCCCCCCCCCCCCCCCCCCCCCCCCCTACCCCCACCCCCAGGCCCACCCCCTGAACCCCCCCCTCCCCCACCTCATCTACGTCCCCAAGGCGCTTGCCGCTCCAGCGCATGCCCAACCTCGCGCCCCCACCGCCCTTAGCGCCCTGCCCCGAGCCCCAAAGATATGAATTTCGGTTTTATACAGATATAAAAAGATAAAAGATAACTAAAAGACATCTCCTTTATCTTTTGGTCTTCATGTTTACCAAAAACTCATTATATACTTTAAAATACTATGTGTATAGATATTGGTTATACATAGAACTCATTCTTGTTAAATAGTTTTTGCTACAGCCCTTAACCCTAAACCCTAAATCTCGGAGCCTGTACTGGCTCTGCGGTTTGCCGGCCTGCCGCCCGCC